TTATGGGCTGGGTAATTTCATAGGCTAATAAGTGGGAGGATTATTCCAACTATTTTGGGGAAAGGGCAGGGATTTCCAGGGTGATGTCTTGGTAATCTCAATCATCCGCCTGCCGGTTCCAACCCGTCTGAGGTCCGCAGTGCTTGTGGTCAGCACGCAGTCACCATCCTCCACCTGGGGTGGGGGGGTGGGATTTAGTTCCTTCAGAACAACTCAAAGCTAAGTGTCAGATTGTTACGTATTCACCTTGAGGAGGAACTGTTTTATCCATGAGCTATTGTCATTACTTTTGTTGTTTAACTGGTTTTCCTTTGTTTCTGAATTCCCTCACTTCCCTAATTAGTAACTCTTGTGCGCTCTTTGGAACTCTGGGAAAGCCTAGGAGACCAGGGCCTTTTCTACAAATAAAAAACAGGAGATGGGGCGCGGGGGTGGCGGTGGGGGGGTGGCGGCAGCTTTTGTATCCAGGAGGGCCCCACAGGGTCCTGTTCAGTTTCACTTATTCCCTCGCGGAAGGGGAACTCTGGCCCCCTTAATCCCCACTTGCTCCTCCCAGCCAGGAACAGGTAAGGTCAGGGGTCAATGGAACAAAGACACTATGACCCATGGAGGTCCAGTAGAGGTTCACCCATCCATCCCAGAGGGAGCTGCTTGGAGTGCCAGCTACCCACGATACAGAGGGTCACTAGCCTGGGAACTACTTAAGGCCATTTAGTAGCATCAAGTAAAATGGAAGCAAAAACTCTAGAGGTGAAAAGAACAGTATAAATTGACTTCCCCCTCTAGTTAAAGAGCTCAATGTTTAAAATTTAATTCTCCCTGTTTTCCCTCTATGTTTATCGAGTTCCAAATGATGGGATATTGGAATGCATGGGTTACCCATCTAGCTCCTTGTCACCAAGCCCTACTTCTCCACCCACCCACCCTGTGCCAAAGGTGGGCCATGAGATTTTTCCTGCATTATTATCCCTTTCTGAAAGCCCAGTATTGGGACATGTGCACAGCACAGTGGACTTGGTTCAAATTCCTGCCCTACTACAGTGTCAGGGGCAAGTTTTCAAGCCTCTGGGCCTGTTTTTATCATGTTATAAAGAAGGAAACAGCTCCTCCATTACGCTTAGCAGACCTCAGACATTCCCTTTTCTATCTTTCTCTCCCCCAAATCTGCTCCTCCTCAAGGCCCAGTTTAACCACCCTAGCCCATACTAAATTTAATAACTTAATAGTTGTATTTGCATTTTAAGAAGCACCCATTGGAGCTGTCCTTATGAGCTGTATCACTCAGAGGCAATGAGATAAAACTCAGTCAGTGGGGGTGGGATGGAGTGGGGTCTTCAACTCTATCTAGGTAGCTGCCTAGACATTTTTCCCAAAGCTCACTCTGAATTTAAGATTAACAAAGCAGCTGGTTTTACAAGGCCAGTTAAATAATGTGAAATCCCAGCAGGCCTTGGCCCTGAGTGTGTGGAGACCCTCACAACAAAAGCCTTCACACTTCCTTTTCATTCTTTTCAGCTTCCCACACACTGTTAACATTAAGCAAGGGCTTCCTGTGTGCTCAGCACTCATCGAAAATTTGCAAAGAAAATTTCTCTTTTGGGTGGACTATTGAACAGACCAGATAAAGGTGGTGAAACAAAGGCTGGCCTAATCTATACCCTAAGGACCTTAAAAATATGAATATTCAAAAACAAAAGAAACCAAATCTCATTTTTCCTCTCTTATTTACAAGTTTCATTTAAATATCTCTCATGGTTAGAAAATCAATGTCAAAAAAACACTGGTATACAGTTTACAATACAAATGTCAGTAAATATTAAAGAACATGGTTAATAATTTTTCCAAGTAAATGTTTGATAAGAAATATTTTCCAGGAGGCCAGTTAAACTAAACGTCAGGTGCCCAAGGCATCGGGAACAGAGCCTCAGCCTTCTCAGGAGATGGTCGCACTGCAGTCCATGTGTGTTTTCCACTTGGTAACACACGTGGCAGCTCACAGGAAAAAGCGGTACCACCAGCCTTTATTCCCCAGCCTCAAAGCCACACCAGGGCATTCTCTGCTATGGGAGTCATGTTCAGCGACAAATGAACCACTAACAATGAAACTAGGATAGCTCAGTTCCAGGATATCCTGATTTAACCTGGGAAGTTAAGGTTTCCCCAAAATTGTCAAACGAAAAATAGGTCACTAGGGGCTGATGGATGGAAGAGTCAAGCTAGACTCATTCTGAATACACTGTCATGTTCTATACAATTAATTATTCTATTCTTTAATTCAAGTGTGAGCTGTTTCTATTTCCCTCATATAAAAGGTGTCAGCTCAGTTGTGTCTAACCTAAGTCTTAACCACTCGATCTTTTAGGCCAATCGTACTTCTGGGAAAAATATGTTTATATATTAACATACCTCAAAGCTTACACTTTCATTATAATAAATTAGCTTTAATGTTACAAATAACATCTCAGAAAACTGAATAAGTAACTTGACCTAGCATACTAACTTGAATTTAGAACTTCTCTATCCATTTTGACCAATCCCCAGAATCAGCAGAACTGTATTATTTACATATAAAACAATATCTAAAATATGCCAATATTACCATTTCTTACCTAAAACAGTAAATATGCTGTTTAAAGCACCAAAGCATACTTTATTCAAAAGTGACATCCTAAACATTAAAGATTCAATCTCATTTTTTTAGTTCATTTCAGAAGTCTCAATATCAGAATCTTTACATAAAAGGAATGATAAGTGTTTCGGAAGACCTGACAAGTACCACCAACCCCCTCTCAAATCCCAGTGTCCTCAAGTGGTAGCCCATGTGCCTCAGGAAGGCCAGTGAGAGCAGAACTGTGGTCAGGGAATCAGACATGCTGGGGTTTAACCAGGAGGTGCTCCATAGAGCATTCATGGCAAGAGCAGACAGAGTTCACAATGGCAAAAGGCAGACAAGAAACCAGCCTTTCCTCTCTCTCAAAATACCAATTAGAAAGCAGGAAATCTATTAGGCTGAGAAAAAACACCGATACCCTTGAAGAAACAGGTGGGAAGTCTGTATTCTCTCAACTGTCACACAGATTACTTAATCAGATATATTTATGACCCAAGCTAGGCTCCAAAACAGGATTCAGACACTGTAATCCCGGTAAATGAGAGTGCACCAGGGTTTAGCTGGCATAAAGAACAAGGATGTCAGACAAGCAGTCTTCAGCTCTAGTAACAAACCGTCACGCAAGCTGAATGATAGGGATTCACGTTTTATTTCTGAGTTAAGATCTCGGAGATCAGAAGGAAGATTAATAGTTTCAGAATAAAAGGACCAAGGCTTAAGCACTCAAAGGAGAATTTCTTAGATGAAGCCATATCAGTAAATGCACAGGGAAATATCCGCAGGCTAGAAGTTTCTCAACACTTGAATGTCCTGAATGTGAACAAAAATGTGGAAGTCAAACCTAGCTATTTGCTTTCCTTTCAGTACGAAAGGGGGTGAGGAGAGCGATCAATGAAGACAGTGCAGGAACATAAAAAGTGTCAGTTTTGTGGGATTATATTTGTGTTTCCATTTAGGGACACATTTCCTGTTGTTTAAATGCTACAGCAATTCAGAACATGCAATTCACCCCCCCAGAAAGGATCTACATGGTTTAATTTTCAAAAAAACACAGACTGCGCAGCCCACAGAAGCCAGTACAGGTTACATTTGTTTTTGCCTCAACTACTACACTAAATAAGGCCTAGTTCCTGAGGAGTAGCAATGGCCATTTATCCCACAGTCTATGGGCAAGTGTCCCATCTGAAAAATCTCACTCCTCCCTCTTCCCCACTGCCCCTCGGGATGCAGCTAGGGAGACTAAGTGACTGTTCTCAGGTCCTTCATGTTTTTACCTCTCCAGATTCAGGCTGAATTTTAAGTCTAGAATACACTGTATAAGCAGTCCTGCCTAAACTGTCACAATTACCACATCCAATCTTGAATTTTCTCCTTCCCTGCAACCATGTGAATTGGGAGCATTCTTTCTAGACAGTATTGCACAGTCAGCAGCAGGGTGAGGGAGTTCAGAATAGCAGAGGGGGAAGGAACATTAGGTGGAATTAGAAGAATGTCTGAGAGGTATAATCAGAAAGGTTAAGTGCTATGAGTAAATCTGCAGAGATTTACTAAACCCTGGAGGAAATTTTATTAATGCAGGAAAGGAGTTAAGGCTCAGACAGAAGTAACCTCCTAGCATGGCTCAAAGGTTCAGGGGGTGGGACTCAGCGGAAAGGTCCGAAAGCTGCACAAATAAATTCAGCCGGTCCAGAGGCCTGGCCACCTTCACCCTCAGCTGAAAACCAAGAAAACTCATTCCAAGCATGCTCGCTTAGAGCAGGGCTGTTTGCAAGTTTGAGGACTCAATTTTAAAATAAACTAAATCGGAACTAGAATGCAGCATTACAAAATGTTTTCACAAGTAAAATCATACACACAAAAAAGTTAGAATATTGCATAGAAAATATTGTCCTGTAATATGCTTTGTAAACCTAGGTCTTTAGGAACTTCAAAATAAAAAACAAACAAAACCTCCCTTCATAGTCTAGAAGGCCATGATTACGAATTGAGAATTACCAACTTGGCAGATTTTTGTATCAAGACCTCAGAAGATCCTGAACTTCTTCATATCCTTAGAATCATGATTAATTTTACACTTCGCAGGCTCAGGCTGACACATTTTAACAACAGTGTCTTTATAAAAGGACTTGGGTTACACGAGCCACAGCCAAGTCTACGGTCTCTGTGTGCCACCCTTTCTGCGTAGAAGAGGTGACCAAAACATGCAGGGACATAAAATCACTACTATTGTTTTTAATCCTAGGCTGTTTTTTCTCTCACGTTAGTCTATTATTAAGCAAGCTACGTCTGCCTGCCCTTTAACAACAAGGTCTAAATAGCCAGTTTAAGAGTAAGTGAAAATGTCTTAGAAGAGCATTTAAGTTAACCTTGGCAACAGGATGGGAGACTCTTAACTCCCCTTGTAAGATGCACCAATCGAGTCTGAGTTAAAATACACCACAGTGACAGAGATATCATCCCTGTACATCCTTGCCAAGTCCTCCGGCAACGTCAGCATCGCTGACAGCCGCTCAGGCTCCATCTCCCCGTACTCGTTGCTCCCTATGGCATATCTGATCAGACGTGTGGCTGCGTTTTGGTCGGTGGCGTGGAGCCCCTGGGCTTTCCTCTGCAGCAGCAGGCTCTGCATGAGTCCCAGGTTGGCGGGTCTCTGGGCCAGGTCTGGCTTGTGCCGACACACTTCAGCCAGGTGCTCCACCACCAGCCTCACCACATCCTCATTGCCCAGCACATCCCACAGGCCATCAGAGGCCAGCACAAGGAACTTATCCTGGGGCCTCAGCCTGTGGTATGTGACCTCAGGCCTGGCCGTCAGGTAAGGTGGAGTGTAATAGTGTGTGGGGGTGAACTGGTAAATGTTGAGGGCCTCGGTGTCAAAGCCCCGCTCCAGGACACTGCGCTGCAGCTCTTTACTCCACTTCAGCTGGACGTCCCCGAAGGCCCTGCAGGGCATGAGGACACCCAGCAGCCTGTTGTCCATGATGATTGTCCTGTGCTCTGACTCAGGATGCTCCCTCTTTAGCCGTGACAGCTCGGTTGGGTTCCAGGCATTGTGGTCCCGGGTGAGGGGCAGACAAGACCACATGCCATTGTCCTCCTGGACACCAAGGATGGCCCGGCAGTCACCAGCGTTTGCCACATGCAAGTGAACTCCATCGACATGGGCCATGCAAGCTGTTGCCCCTGAGAAAGCAACCTGGAGTGAAAGGTTCCTGGTCATCTCATCTTCCAGGGCGGCCTGGATCTCTAGTGAGATGTCAGAATCCAGCCTCTGGAAGGAGTACATTAATGCTTCCTCAATGTTCAGCCCCATTTCCATGTGCAGGTTCA